ATCCAAACGAGATACTTGCGGATCGTTTAACGATGGGAACGGGTGGAAATGGAATTCGTCGAGAAAGATACGAAATAAGATATTCGCAATCGATTGAAAAGAATTTTCAGCCAGCGCGAAATCCAGAAATAACGCGTTCCTACTTTTCGTAAAGGACAAGCAGCGCACTTTTTAACGCTGTAACAAACAGATCGATGCAGGATGGAATGAAGAATAGAGGCCGAAAAGGATACACAATTCTTCGAAGAGAGGGGTTCTCGTAAGAAAGATCCGGAAAGAAAGAACGTTTATAACAGCGATGTATAGGTACAATCCACGGGAGAGGAAACGGCGAGAGGGGGAATGTAAATTACGTGTAAATATTCCCCTTTCTCGGGTATCTCGGACCAGCGAGACGGAATCGACGGGAGGAGAAGGAGCCAGCGCTCGTTCGCGGCGGTCCGGTTTTTGCTGGCGGGGTGCAAGGACAGGCGACGACGGTTGCTGCTGCTGCTGCAGCAGCACTGAAAGTGGTCAGAGAAACGTGGCCGCGTGCACTCGCGATTACTATATGCTCCTTGAAACGATAGTAAAACGTGGGTCCGCGCGAATTGCGACACTCGTGGCACGGATACGCAGCGGCCGAACAATGACCGGTGGTTCTCTCGCCTCGATTCGGGGAGTCGTTGTTTTTTTTTCCAGCGCTCACCGTGACTCTGCGGATTCGTTTGTTCTTGGATAAAAGATAAATCGATGGGCTCTACAATAACGTATATTACGTGTAACGCTAAATAATAGGGAGGTCCTTAATGGATCTCGCGTTTCCTTATAGGCTACCGAACGGGCGCACACCGCACGTTCCGAAACTTTGAAGCAACTTCGATCTCTCAGACTACACTGTACCTCTTACGGAAGATATAAATCAGTATTTCCAATTGTGCGAATGAATCTTTTTATATGGACAGTTCGCCACTTAGCTAAGATTCATCTGCAGTTTGCGTCTTATTATTATTAATTGTTATTTTTATTATCTTCTTTTTGCTTTTTAATTTTGTCTTTGGCATCGCGCGAACTTCTGCATTTCGTAATATCGTCCGCTGGTGTGCACGTATGAAATTACATTAGAAAAGAATTCTCTCGCGTGACTTCTCATTTCTTCATAAGGGTCAGAGCACAAAGCAACGTGGCGGCTTACGACAAAGACGCAAACGTAAACGTAGGTAGCGCGCAAGCTTTGGCGTAAATGTAACGTCATATGTAATTGGAGGTGAGTACGACATACGCCAAAGCTCTGACCCTAACTCTCGATACGGCCACGACAGAAAAGTAGAGGTCTTACAATTAGATAGCATTTTGTACTAGAAGCTGTATATAAAAATGAACGTATAAATAAATAGGTAAATAAACGCGAGAATAAAAACATTAAGATAATATAGCGTTTCTATTTCGTTCACATTTATCTTCGGGTTGTAGCGATCGTAACGGAGAATTTAGAGCCGACGCTTATTCGCTTTCCGTCGCCTTTGTTCCAGGGGGACGGTGGTATCGAGTACTTCAACACCATCGTGGTCCAGCCACACCTGAAGCTGGTCACGAACCAGGGCAGGGGTTTTCACGTGAGATGCAGATACCAGACGCGCGACAAAGTCGTAACGAACGATCAGACCCAGGTGTCCATGATGCAGTCTCTGCCGTTGCAGGTAATAAAGCATTCGGCTGAGTTACGAGAGATCTTTCTGAAAAATTAGCGTCAGACTTCGTTGGCTGATTGAGACATTAATGCGCCATTAACACGTGAAATTACGCCGATTACGTTCGCAGCTTCTTTGCGAAGATACGTGCTCTTTCATCTGTACATAAATTCGTATAATTGACTTTTGGATAAACGAATATCGAAGAGGTTTGAAGTAAAGAGGTAATCGTGAGATATTTAAATTGCAAACTGCCCGCAGGCGACCGCGCCAATGCCGGGATGCACGATGAAGATCTTCAGCGGCGATCCAACGCAGCATCATGTGGCGGAGAATGTGAAGATCGGCGATCCTTTGACCCTGGTCATTAGCATCGACAAACAAGAGATGTTCGGCTTGAAGATCTCCGATTGCCTGGTGCGCGATGGCCTCGGGTGGGGCGAGCAGCGGCTCATAAACGACGACGGGTAAGTCAGCTTGTGGTACCGAAAAATTCGTGGACAAGGGGGAGAATTTTAGTCAACGGAGACGGCGATAAACCCCTTTCACGATGGAATCACTCGGCCTCGTCTGTTCGCAGTTGCCCGATCGACGGCGAGATAATGGGACAGTTCACTTACAACGAGGACAAAACGGAGGCCAGGGTGAACTTCCAGGCGCACAAGTTCCCGTATACGGCGAGCGTGTATTATCAGTGCAACGTTAGACTGTGCGTCAAGCATGGCGGAGGATGCAGTAATACGGTACCCGCCGTCATTATGATACACAAGCGCTAGCTAGCTTGAATAATGATTCCGCGAGGACTCCTAAGTACTACGTTTATAATAATCCTTTAACGATTTTATAATGGTTACCCATACGTTCGAAATTATCGGGGTATTTACCTCGCTGGCACGATTATCCGATTGAACTTGCTCACGTAGTATGTTATACAAACGCACGCGAGGTGTTATGTAACATCTGACCCTGGCAAGGAATACCCGAGTCCCCGCACGCCAACCCGTTCCTCGAAGAGGAACTCGCCGCGTAACAGTCATCGCTTATTTTCCGCTTGCAGCCGCCGTTGTGCAATTCGATAGCCAGACGACGCAGGGACGCCGCGGGTGACGACGAGGTGAAGGGTGTCGAAGGCCTGGACGGCACCCCGGCCACAATAGAGGTCTACAGTGGCCTTTACGTTAACGAGGCCTCGGACATTGGCTCCAAGTCGGACTTCTCCGACGACGTCCTCCGAGAAAGGGTAATTCGAGCTTAATTGATTTCCGCTGCGACATTAATGACTTGGTGTCACGAAATGATTTACTCTGACGTATCTTCGAATATTAACTCGATAAACGACGTTTGAACGGTACGCTAGCCCTTTATCAGCGAATTCGAACAGAATTACGGCACGTTAAGTACCAGCAGAGAAATCTATCATATGCTGTTAGTCTTGTCCATTTTTTCTGTTATATATTCGCTGACGTTCTGACAAATTTATTCTAGACACTATGCGAGATCCAGATATGGCTATTTAGGGACTCGTACAATAGAATTTCTAAATATGGGGGGGCCAGACTCGCTTCGTCTCATTATTTTCCGAATTTTTCTTTCTAGGCTATTGACGACCCGAACACCATCTGCATATCGCAGAGGAGTTTCGCTATCGGGATTGCTGTTGCCGGTCTCATCCTCATGCTGGCGGTGATAGCCGCCATCCTGGTGCTGCTCGCCAAGAGACGGCACAAGAGCGTATCCACGACGGGATCGTCCATCTACAGCGGACCATACACGAACACCGCTTACAGCCACAGTAGCTAAGTTCGCCTCGTTCGGCGCGGGATTGAGATACCCGAGACACCCCGGCTCCGAAGACAGCCGCGTCCCCGCGGCTTCTTCCCTCGCGGGATCCGTAGCGACGCGTTGATCTCGCGGCGGGTCTTCTCGGGCAGGCTCGATCGACGAAACGATTAATTAGATTTTTAGTTGCTTTCGACGCGAGGTCGATTCCGAGGCGACGATCGAAGCCACTGCGCGCCCGAGGTTCGACAGAGCGAAACGAACGAAACGCGGATCTCTTGCTCAACTGTTGTACCCCCTTTCGACGTTTCGCACGACGGCCTCGGCGATACTTCGAGGTATTTAGGGAACTGACGATATAGTTCGATCCTGGATACCAATCTTCTCTTCTCTTCCTCCCTCACATCTTCCCTCGTCCTTTCGAACGGAAATATTTTACGACGGATCTTCATAGCTCATAAAGCAGAATATGTAACGAAGAATTCACGTATAGTTTCAATGACGCGATATCAACAAGTATACTTGCTACGACACTTCTTCCTTCTTCCTCGGCCTATCTCCGTCCACTTCTGGACTTGGGGCCTCTTCCAGGAGTCTCCACGTCTGTCGACATGCTACGACATTATTAGAATGAAAATAATACGAAGAAAAGGAAACAAAATTCCTCGTGCAATAAAAATTGTAGCGCGTTACAGGCAATATTGTGGAAACAAATTGTACAGTTACAGTCTTACAAAAGAAGAAAGATGTGCTTTATATACATCCGGTGCTCTTCCCTCGCATTATCGAGACCGGTCTCGAACACGATCGCGAATTTTTCGCCTCGAAAATAATTCCAATTTGCTACTCCAACCATGTTTGAGGTAGTAATTATTCCGTCCGAGCTATGTACATATTGTTTTTAGCGAAACACCCTTACCGTTTGCTCCGATCTACATCTAATGAATCGACATGGCTCATTCCGTCGAGAGGTTGCATCATTCTAATATATACATATATATATACATGTACTTCTAATATACTATGCTGTACACTAGTCCGGTATACACTGTCCTACCTAACACATATCTATCGCACTAAACACAGTCGCGCGTACGCGAAGACATCAAGTCGCGATTGTCCCTCAACGATTTAACACGATTGTCGCGCGCGAACTCATTCTAGCTAGCTTTAAGTCCAAGTCAACGCTACGCGTGAAACTCTTCTCAAATAACTCAATCAAATACTCCGGTGATCCCTGCGTGCGATCGTTTCCGACGTCGATATTTCTGCGCTCTCCTCCGACGCGGTTTCCAACTTGAAACCCTCCCTCGGATGAAAGACGAATCTACATTCGTGCGTGCAAACACTTGAAATTAATCACACACGTTGTGATACGCGTAGAGAACAATCCAGCATTTCCGAAAATAGCAGCAAATTGTCATAACTCATTTTGTTTAAATTGTTCTTGAGTAGACAAATCAATAGTAATGAGAAAGACAGACTTGCTGATTGCATTATGTACAATGTAATGGTATCGCTGCGAATGTACCGGCGGCAACGGCTCAATTCTGAAAGCGTAATCGGAAATGCATCTGCGGTGAAGCTTGAAGAAAATCTAATTATAAAAGGACACAATCAGATCCGATATGTGTGCATGTGTCGGTTATTATAAGCCTCCGATAAAGCTGCGTGTGAACGAACCATCGCCCGTCGTAAAGACGCAAGGGCAATCTGTAATTTCGTACACTGACAAAAAAATTATTTTAAACTAAGTAAATAGATTTACTCAAAATTATTTTTTTACTCAAGTAAATATTTATCCTTAAATATTTAAATAACAATATCAAATTTCAAGTAAATCTATGTGTTATATTAAGTAAATTAATTTAAATCATTACATTTTCTACATTCAAATAAATATTTCATGAGATATAGAATGCTATTTATTAAACGAAATAATTGTTTTTGTTAAATAAGAAATCAATTTAGAAAACATTTTATATAATTAAAATAAGGTTTAAAACCTTTTTAATGATATTTGATATTTAATAAATACTTAAAGCAATGCATGTTTTAATTTGTTTCTTAATTTTTTAATTTAAGTTAATAAGCTATTAGGAGTCACCTAATGAATCATTTTCTTGAGTAGAGCAATATTTTTTGGATTAAGATATTTTTTTATCAGTGTATTTAGTATCGTATGTAGTTAATATCGAAAACAAGTCGATCAAGGATCCGAGATCACGCACTTATCCCCCATAAATTATTCCGACGTCTACAACGATGCGATACTCGAATGAATGCGACGTGTGCGAGCGCTCAGTATACTCAGATTCATTTATAACGCTTAAACATTGATGTTAATTAGTCTAATTGAGACGAGGCGCTGCTCCAACGTCGGTATCTCTCGGATTTGTTCGAGAGCAGTCGCGAAGCAAGTAACGCCGAGTGTTTTCTAACAACAGGTGCGCCCTTCAAACTACTCCAAACCCGATTTCGATTTATCGGGATTTAATTGAAACGTAGGGAAATGCGCGCACCCCGCACAGGAAACTGATAATAATTTAACACCGGGGATACCGACGTCGCGGGCAGCCCGGGGCGTTTAGATATTAATTGAAACGAAGACAAGGAAGCTCTACTGCCAACGCAGTCGCGTAACTGGGTCCAACGTGGTGGTGGGTACATGACATGTAAAATTTTACATTTTAGAGAGAAACCGACACCCGTAACTCGTTAACTCCTCGTCAAGCGATAATACGCTACCGTGCAGGAACGGAGTGTTGTGGTATAGTAGTTCTCTGGAAACGATGATGTATTGCGACAGCTGTTCCGGATGGACCCTGACGTGTCGAATAAACCGCAACGCCGACGCTTACACGCGCTTTACCAAAAGCGAACGAGGCCATTGCCGGTCTAAAGGCTGTTCACGGTGATAGGCGCTCAAATTCTCCTTTTGAATGCTTTCAATCGTATTACAATTCAAATTGCTCCGAACATTATTCAGAATTGGAAATTTTTCAATCTTGAATAAAATCTGTCCTTAAAAGCACTTGAACATCTGAAACTTACAACTTGTTCTTTAAATTTACAAAATTCTAATTCTCCTACTTATTAGAATCCTGAAAAATGAGATTGTGTCTACGAAAGTGGATCGAAATAACAAGATACTGTAAAGGAAACAAAGTAATTTTCGATGCATTCAAGATATTCAGGAATCTTTCGATTTTGAACAATGTTCGAAATTATCGAATGAGCTCATCGCCGTCCGTTTTATGTACGCGCGAGGCACGAACACCTATTTACTATATGCAAAGCGTCGTTAAAAGGTGTTTTAAAAAATCGCTACAGAGCAGAATATATCGTTGCGCCCGGGAGACACTCGTGTGTCAGCGCGGGCGTAACAATATCATGGATTCTGACGAACGACACGTAGTAGATGCGTTTCTCAGCGTTTCCTCGATTCTCCGGAAAATCTCTCGCACACGTAGATGCGGGCCTTCGGATGACGCGCACGAATTTACGTTCACGCGATTAGGAGCGAGATACTGTTATTTCCATTCGTACCCCGAGGTACAACACGGCAAAACGGCTCCAGTTCTCCATAGTATTTATCCCTCTCGAAAAGTGCAACAACTGCGAAGCGTCCCGTGGGTCCCGCGGAATTTCTGTCGAGAGTTGGAATCGCTCGGCGAACGGGATCGCGCGTGATCCCTCGCCGTGCCATGGCACTGGTTCATAGCGATCATTGGGGACGAAAATGCCTGTATAGAATCTCTTTTTCTCGCGTTACGCGGGTAACGCGGGTCCCGAATGCTCCCGCAATGTTCCTCTGGACCCTTGTCAAAAGAATCTACAACGAATCTGTGTAAATAACGAAAAAACCTAATAAAACTGGTAATTATAAAGATATTTTTTCAATGTCCCTTCGTCCCATGCGATCCTTCGAGTCCTCCTGCCGCTTAGATTACGATTGGGTGAATGAGGTGACACCAGGAACGAACGTCGCAAAATAATCGACGCGAGCTGGCAAATTATCAAACGAGAGTGTCTTCTTTTTTTATTGAATTATATATATATATAATTCGTTTTTGGAAAATATGATATAATATATATATAATATATATATGTATATAATATAACAAGAAATATAATTAGACTGACATGACTTCTATATCAAATTTCTTTCCGGCTCTCTATGATGTTGTGCATTTCGGATGAGTATAATATAGCTCTTTTATTAACGCCACAGAATTGTCAATTGCTTCGCCTTGCCCGTCTCTCTCTCTCTCTCGTTGCCCTCTCGTTACCTTAGATTATATTTATACACAGATAATTCAGGTCCTTTCGCTCCTCCGCCAACACTACCCTTCCTGTCTCGACTTCTCCTTATCCATCCTCTTAATTAAGATTACACGTAGCTCAACGCGGTGTAGCTCTCCCCATGCAGCCGAAAAAAATCGATGGACATATCCGAAATATCATTTTTCTTTCACAGGAGATCCTACTTTGTAATAAATATAAATTATATATTTATATCTCTTCCTGAATACTTGTACGCATGTGTTATGCATGCCCGACGACCGACATCCGGAGAAGTGGCGAGTGGCGCGAGTCATCGGCTCTTCGTCGTCAGCAGGATTGCGGCAAAACGGGAGAGAACGCGATCACGGTGAGGTACGTTGCCTATAAGCGCGGAGGCACAGCCACTGTGATTTATCCTTACGATACCGATACCGCCACGATGCGCAAAAAATATATATGTATATATCGGTACGCACTCGCAACTTGTCCGTGTTATCCGAGCAACTTTCAGGACCGGTCTCTCTCATCGGCCAGGTCGTTTAGGGCCGGGCGCGACCGGCTCAATTCTCCGTCCCCCGCATCTGTACCGCGGCTGAAGCTGCCAGGTTGCCCGACACGGGAAACCGATTAAATAAACGTTAACATTTACAATTTTGCAATTGTGAAAATCCTTTTCCCAGTAGGCACCAACAGTCACGTAACATCAGTGTTTATTATTTCCCATTCAACGATGTTAATGTGACATAATATATGTTGTACGTAGCAGTTACATTATTGAATGGGAAATTATAATACATATATTATGTAACTATTTGCTGGGTCTTATCGCTGTCCCGCAATTTTTCAATCCCAACGGTAGAACCATTCGAGTGAGAAGCATTTTAAAATACTGGTTTGCTCTACCGGCCAGTCTTATCTGCATTCCAGTTGTAATTGAACATGAGGGATTCGCTCGCCGATCCGTTCGCGGGGACGCTAATCGACCTGACGACACGACCGGCCTTGTCAAGTGTCGTGTTCACCGTGGTTCTCGCTCGCTCTGCGGTCTAAACTTAAGCAACCGTGGTAAAAAGATAACGGCTTAGCGGCAAAATACGTCACTTCCTGTAACACGTTAAGATAACTCCTCACGTCGTTCTGACACACGTGTCCCGCGTTCTTATCGAGAAGTAGCGAGAACGCGGAGCTGCGCGCCGGTGTCTCTCGCTGCTTCTCCGCAAGCAACGCGCTCCGTCGCGTCTCAACGGTATTATACAACAAATGAGGAAACGAACAATTTTTTCGCGACCGTTATGCGCAGAACAACGATTCAGTTATCATTAAAGGGACGCTCAAATCAACGGAAGGACTCTATCCAACGGTCAGGGAGAGAAAGAGAGAGAGATAGAGATGACATTCTCTTGCGCGACAATCGATGTTGCAAACTCGCGTGTAAACCCACTTCGTACTTTATCCAATTCTTTTTTTTTTATAGATCGCGATGCTCCTTCTACTCTCTTCCTATCCTGTCTTCCACCGATTTATTGCTCGCCGTTGTCAATCATACGTCGCATTACAAAAATAGTAGGAAACGAATGTGTGAGGTCTCGCAAGCTTATATCACCCGTTCTCTTTAAGAATTGTTCGTAATCGGTGCGATTGGGAGGTGACCGAGTCCCTTTGGAACTGCCTGTGTCGTGTTCCTTCCCGTCTCTTCGTTGAATCTCTAGAATGCACGAAGGGAAAATTACAAAAGTCACTCGTGAGCGATGGTGATGAGAAGTTCGTCACACCTGCTGTACGCGCGATCGATCCCTCTTTTCAGATGGGAATCCGAGGTGGATGTTCACTGAGAACAACACACGTCGTCAGTGCGAACGGACAAATTTGTAAAGTCTCTCTTTCACATCCAGCGTGAAATACATTTAAATGTAAATACAACGATCTAACGTAAGAAATTCTCTAAATTCCATGGGGATTTAAGGAATTTTGTGCGGACGATCGAGCGCGCACAGATGTGTCGAAATACATTCGCGCTGTAAAGCGTTAATAAACGAAACGAGAAGACGAGTAAACACGGCATTATTCGCTCGAGTTTTACGTGACTTTTGGTTCGCCGAGCTCTATCGGAAAGGAGAGAAGCGGCAGCCTCGACGAATGTAAACGTCCCGCACGACATCACCCTGATACGATTTCTCCTTTCGTTTTCTTCTCTCGCCCATGCTCCTTTTCGGTCCTTCGCGCGCAGAGACACTTAATAGATCACATGATTTTGAACGCCTTCCGAAATATATATACGGTGCGCCGCGAGGTGTCGGACGATCCTCGATGGCGATCTCGCGTTCGACGGCCGATGAGTTCCTCCACCGTTGTCTCTCCTTCACTCCTACCGTCGTTTTTATCTTAAAGAGATGCGTGAACTGCCTTTTCTGCTTAATAGGTACAATTATGCTTCTTTTTTTTTCTTTAACTCACTACGACGACATTAGGTACAGTTAAATACTATGGTTGTGCGCCCATGTCTTTACGAATCGAAGTGTATCTTGGTATCTACATCTTTTCCGCTTTTCTACACCCGCTCGAGTCTCTGGTCTTTTTCTCTCTTTCCTCTTGGCTTACAACGGGATTAGAACTTTTGTCGCGCTTCCTCATGAGGAAAACGTTGTGGTCGCGTTTCGCGTTAACGGTTAAACGGACGTAGGGTTCGCGTGTTTCACCGGATGCTACTCCTCTCTTATTTGAACCGTCGTAAAAAGATAGGCGCACCTTCACCTACGTTTCTGAAGTACAATCATCGTAAGCGAAGCTTCTGGATGGATTCCACTTGGTTTTTTTGTGTGTCGCGAAGCGACGCGGGCAACCCTTGCGATCGCGATCTACGCTACGAGGTAACGGTCGATTACTAATCTTTTCTTTTCTGGCAACTACTCTACTTGCTAATCTTTTTTTTTTTTTTTTGGTTTTGCGAGAGCACGGGTCAATTCGCGTTTTTTAAAAGTAAAACGATATATCGCGCGATTAATAGTCTAGTCGCGCGAGACCTGCCCGCGCCGATCCGCCTAGTTTTCACAGACGGAGACGTTATTAATTACCGCGACCGCGTGTCACCATCACCCCTACCGGTGTAGTACATATGTATCGCATGTACATATACATATATATATCGCGTATGTCTCTATTTCGTTGGAACGAGTGTGTGCGAGAAAAATAACATCTGTCGTGTGATATATATCTGTATATATATGTGTACGTATGTGTACATAAATGCACCTGAGGCTTGTGATATAAATAACATAATACTATATATCACGATGCTTGTGTTATGCATAATATAATATATATAGAATCAATGTGTATATAATTATATATAATATTTACTTATGATGTATTTAATATATAATATATAATAAAAGCAAGGCGCGATTGAAGTTGGCAGCTGTCTAAGAGATATCAGACAGGTTGTTTTTAAGAGAACTTAGCAAGTTGTTGCCGATAAAGATATATAATGCTAGGAATAAATGGCGCGCGCAAAGCGCGTTGGTATTTTCTAGTATAATATTTAATAAATATATGATTTCTAGTATAATATAAATAAATATGTATATATTTATATGATTATATACACATATAAAATATATATGCGACAGGTGTATTTTATGTACATCTACATACATAAGCACGCGCGCACACGCACACGCACACACGCACACGCACACACACATGTGGACACACCCGCGCACGCGCATGCCAATATAAGAAATTTTTCCACGAAATTCATAAAGCGTGCTCGCATACTGGAAGACGAATCATAGTAATACAAAAGACAAATTTAACTTATTCCGCACTTTCGAGACTTAAAAGTGATTACAAACGAACGAAATCGCCGACAGTGATCCGTGTTAAACGCAGAAAATTATCGCAAAAAATAAGAATAAGGTAATTTCGGACATCTCTTTCTCCGCAAGTACAAAGCGCAAACGGTGAATTTTCAGGCTGTGATGGCTTCACGCTACTTAACTACTGTTTGAAACTAGACATAAAGATTATGTACTGAATACGTTTACATATTTACTTATGACATTCACCGGGTATAATCGAGGATTATGATTGATTAGAGATATATCTAGTTGAATATCGCAGAATGTCGTGAAAGTGTAAAATGTTAATTTTTTTATCTTTCCAGATTATAATTTTCTCTTGCAAAGTCGATATATAGTATTTCATAAAACACAATAGAAACTTCCAAGATACAAGAAAGAGAGAAAGAGAGTATACGCTTGTAGAAATTATATGTAAACGTTTTGCGAAGAGTGTAAGAGGTTCTCATTGTTCACGTACAATAAATACGTGTTAGAGGAAAGCGTAAGGGCTGGCATCGTCAACGCGCGGCCAACTTTTAGAATTTTCATAGATATTACACTGAGGTAGCAGACAACTCGTTCAAAAAATGGACTCAGAATGGGCAGCGACGTTAACGCAACATTCGTTGACCGATGCGATGGCAGCGAGTGTATCAAAATTAGCGGATAAGATAGACAATGGAAACATTCTTTTTGGATCGCCACTAACGCTAAGCCGAAAGATTCGCGCGTCTTGTAAACGTACTCAGTAAACTGTACTCTTTTTTTTTCGTTTTTCCCCTGTATAATTAGTTTAATTATTATACGCGTTCTCGCGGCGGTCGAAAATCACCGTGGCGACCACCTCGGGAAATTCGTGTTTCTTTGACCTTAATAATAAGCTCCTTAAAAGTAAATCTCACATTCATAGTATCTGTAAAACCGCAGTTAAAATATCTTCAAGTATTTTATATATATACATATATATATGTATATATACGTATGTATATACATACATACACACACACGTACAATAATATTGTAATAGTAATTAAAATTTTGTCCAGTAACTCTATTCGGTACACCACTGATTCGTTCGTTTCTTACGTCACATATTTGTGATCACGGTTTTGTCCTTTTTTTCCCCCTCGTCTCGCGCTTTTGCATTGTCATGGTAATTCAGTTGTACTGTGAATTCAGTGCGATTGAAAGTCTTTCGAGTAAGGGTTAAATTTCATCTTTTGCGTCGTCCCCCGTCCCCTAAAAAAAAGACAATTCGCGTAACAGTATATTTAGTCTTCTCTTCACTCGAGATGTACGTGCACGCGTGTATTCTTCTAATAACGTCTCTCTTGCTTCTCTTTAAATAGGTATTCAGGGTAATAATTAACATGACGTGTTAAGAATACGAGCCTCTCTCTCTGAACAGTAAAATAAGCTGCCAATCTCGATTGCTGTTCATAATCGAGATTGTGACTCGCACTATCAGCGATGTTATCCTGCCGATCCATTTGCTTAAAATCCTGTTTGTACCTGATTCCGACGGTTAATGGTCACCTTCACCGTTCCTGAAAAGAAACGTTATCTCTCAGGACGGAATAGAAGTCATTGCTCTCCCTCGACATTTAATACAAGTGAGTTATTCAGATGCAAATAAATGGATGTCATTAAAGCAAAGAATGTATAGATACGTCAACTGTAACTGATCATAAGAAGCTTTATATACGAAAGTACAATATGTTTCCTAAGAAAGAATAATTCATACAATTGCAGCCACACGTGGTCACAGTCGACGTGAGAAAGAGTGAGAACAATATATATGTTCTCTAACGTCAACTTGACAAAGTCGATTAAATGCCATTATCTTGTCGATTCGAGTGCGATAAGCATGAAAAATGTACGGTACGTGTAGTGTCAAAAAAAATTAGAAAAACGTGTGCAAAGAACACATTTAGTGTCATCGTGACGAAATATCTACAAGAAAACATTTCAGAACTGTTTCTCCACAATTTTTGAGCGAATGGCATCGAAGAAAGATGTACTTTTTAGAAAGAAACAAAAGACAACATTGTTATGTGAAAACTGAACAGGAACAGTTCTGAACGGTTTCTCAGTTGAGAATATTATCCCGTGTGCGTTGCTGTTTAAGTGTACGGTGCAACAATAAAATACATGTGCAATGAAAAGATATCTTTCCTACTTTCTTCTTTTCAAACAGTCACTAAACGAATTTATATTCTTTGGCAGATTATTAATCGTAACAATAAACTTTAGAGGACCGTAATCGAGAGAGAGATATATATAGTCACTTATAAATATACGGAAGTAGGAATCACTTTCCAGCACGTTATCGTATAAAACCGAAAAAACGATAAATACCAATAAAGATGAATCAACGCACGTGAAAAAAGCCTCTATCGTACAAAGAAGACACTGTGTTCTGTGTAGTATTTTATATTTAAGTTCTGTACCTTATATCATATTGTCTTCCACAGGTTTCGCTTTTAAAGGGAGACAAGAATGTGTCAAAATTGTGTTACACTTTATCTTTCGTAAGCAAAATGAAAGTAGAAAATAACTGAATTTTAAGCGACGTACTGAGCGCGAACATCGAATATTTTCCTCTCTCGCTCTTTCTCTCTATGCTTCTTATCAATGTTTCATTTACCTTCTCTGATGTCTTTCGGTACATTTGATGAGAGCGATGACATGGAAGGTGGTTGATAGAAATTGGGTCGTGCGCCGCTCGGTGGCAAAGATGTTACTTTGGACCTGAATGGAATTGCACGAGCGTATAAATTGACCAAGAAACAGATAATAATGTTTCACGAAAACTTCAAAGCTACCTCTGTTTACGAATTTTCTGATTTCTGCCGTCAAAGGAAGTCGGCGTGCCGGCCCCCGAGGTGTTAGACGAAGGCGGTCTGTACGGCCGCGGGCAGCCTTGAACAACAGGCGGTGATGATATTGGTGCATACTGCAACCGGGGGTTGGATGGTACGCCTGGATGCATCAATCTCATGTCCCCTGTAGCGTTCAGGAACATCTTAGCAGCTGTTTAAACAATAACAAATGTACGCTGCATTCAGAAGTATCACCTTGCACGATATGGACACCCTGATACATTGGCAGTGGGTAACGTGGTTGAGATTGTGCGCTTCGGTCTCCGCTCCCACCTCCGAAGAGCTCGTGCGCCGGAGTTGGAGACCGACTGGTTCTTTGGGAGTTACCTGGCGTGGTCGCCCGCACGCTGGGAACGACCTATTTCAGGAACACACTTTATGTTATCACCGTAACAAGTAGATGACGATGGCTGTTACTATCGCATTCTCACAGGAACATTTTGCCTGAAGACAAGATTGGGAACCAGCGTGGGTGCCATGTATGCGCTAGGTGGCGCCGGAGACGTGCCGTTGTGAGTGACCTGGTGTCCGAACGTTCCACCGGTCACCATTGCCGGAGATGCGTAGCTGCTCGAGTTGACGTACATCAACGGCATACCAGGTATCTATTAATTACACACCGAGGTGCATCAACTTTTCAGTACTGCATAATTCTATGCATTGACCACTTAATATTTCAACTGCAGCTTCAATTGTTAAGTTAATATTGGCAATTGCCAATACCAATAGATTAATAATTACCTGACTAGACGTCGGCGTGTTCGGTGGCGTGGGTACTCTGTACATCACAGGCGGCGGCTGCATCGCTGGCTGTCCCGGCGGGTAGTACGTAGGAACCATTTGGACCGGAGGTTGATACGTATAGTCGCCAGGCGTCGGAGTTACTGCCGGCACTGAATTGTAAGGTACCGGATAACTGCCGACGTAATTAGCTGAAAACACACGACGTTAATTGTTGAGACGTCGCGGAGGGAAATGAGGAGGCGGAAATACGAAGATCGCGTTCGACACAACGTACAACTTGCTTGGCTCGGAGGTGTCATCGTTTGCGCGTTAAACGAATAATTCGTTGGGAACCTCTGCTGCTGGTGCAGCTGCTGCCTGTCCCCCGGATTCTGGCCGACGGAGATTGTCGTTCCGGGCGGAGGCACGAAGTACATAGTCTGCTGGGGCTGAAAGGATTCATGTTTCACCAAACAGAACCGTACACAGCGGTCACAGTGCGCTCGTCGCGGAACATACTCTTCGTACCGGTATTTGATTCGGCGGCGGCGGTTGCCAATAATTCGGTTGTAACGACTGCACGTTCTGCACGGTCTGGTTTGCGGAGGGCGGCGGCGGTGGATACGCGGAGTGCGGAGGCGTCGGGTGACTGTCTCCACTACCACGCTGATCGTAAATGTTCATCCCCAAGAAGTATCCGGACAACTCGGCCATATCCTGAAATGTCGATTACAGTAATACGATTGAACTTTTCGAGAAGCGGCCGCAAGAAACTTTTCTCGAGCTTATTTGTTTATACCATGCTGGGATCACTTGTTAAATTCGTCTTTTGGAGGCAGATAAACACTCGAATATGAACATAACTTAAGCACGGGGAAATAAAATAACAGAGGGAGTGTGGCACACTAAGCGAAAGCAAGTGGATAGTAGGGAGGAGGGGCTAAGTGTATATTGAAACCCACGTGGGAAACCTGTCTAAATGAATTAGTAATTAACACCGTTTCGGGTAGGTTCCAAGATGGCGAGCCAATCAGATTCACTATCTCGCCCCTTGTATAGTTTGCAATACCCCTCTGGCCTTAATACTTTCCTCTGTTATTCCTTCCCCCTATGATAATAATAAGCAACACATTTCGAAAGCGCGCGACATTTATTCATTATCTCTGGCTGACTTATTTAAATACGTTCGCGTAGACGCATACTCGATTCGTGTAGCACTCACCCCTGACTGTGGTATTGGTCCTTGATGCACAGGTACCGCGTAATTCGTGTAGACCTGATTCTGGTTGAAGACGTCCCCCTGGCCGCCATTTTGCATGCTCATTTGACCCTGAGTCGGATGAGGCGCCATCATCACAGTTGATTGCCCCATGGGAGGCGGATAGACACCCTGATTATACGGTTCTGAGGTAGGTACATAGGTCGCGTACGGCTGTTGAGCTGTTTGGTTAGTATGACTAAATATCGGTAGTGTCGTTGACGATTTGACTAGACTTTGCTGCTGCGGCTGCGTCTGTTGCTGTGGCTGAGCTTGTTGTTGTTGTTGTTGTTGTTGCTGCTGCTGTTGTTGCGCTTGTTGTTGATGAACGGGTGGATTTTGCGGAGCAGAAATGGGAGGAGGTGGAGGTGGCGGCGGCGGCGGCGGAGTGAACGGCAGACTCGGCGATGTCGCCGTGTTCGTTACTTGGGTCCCGGAAGTCGCCGTTGTGACGTTGATCCTCGATTGCGACGACCTCTGCTTCCTGCCATCGTTCTTGAAGTTACCGTTCGTCGTTCTGGACGGCTCAGGAAGCAATTCTGTATGGTGGTGGTGGTGGTGGTGTTGTTGTTGTTGTTGCTGCTGCTGCTGCTGCTGCTGTTGTTGTTGTTGCTGCTGCTGCTGTTGCTGCTGCTTGTTAGTGGACAGCGCCGTGCTATTCTCGTTTTCCATCGCGAAGAATTTTGGCCGATTGTCCGGGTCGTAGCGATAAATCGTGCCGTCCGAGTTTGTATATGGCTGATTGGTCTGCGGGTTTATTATTATGCTGCCGGGCGGCACGCTGGATAAACTGGTGACTGCCCACATGACTGTCTGGTCGCCGCCCGTCTCCGGCGAGACTAAATCCTGACTAGATACTTGAGTGTGGCTGCACGTCATGGCGGCCGGCACGGGGGAGGGTGACGGAGATGGGGATATCGTCGCGTCGCTGCGCTGACTCTGCGATTTGTAGCCACTGCTCGAGCGGCTCGGGCTCAGGCGTGAACACATACTCGCCCCTGAATCTGCGGCACACATTTGCCACGTGATAATAGGATGAAGAGAGCATGCGAAGGCAGCAATAATGCAGCGGAATATCGCTATACGGCATATTACTGAGGTCTTTATAGGTACTTTCATCGCAACTTCGTTGCGCAATTACGTATAACTACCTTGCTTCATGAGGCGAGGTCCCGCGCTATGCGTAGACGTGACACTGTCCCCCCTCGTCAGCATGCCTTTGGTGTAGCCACCGAAACTGTATGACTTAGAAACGGACGGGCGCAACACCGCGCTGCGGAACGAATCCCTTCCGTCGAAGGATTCGCCCTTCAGTAGTCGATTTGACCTGAAGATTCATACATAAACTGTATTCTAAGACAATGATTGCATCGAGATTCGGTGATTATTTTATAGCTATTGTTCAATGCATTATTTTCCGGTTAAAATATTACTTTATCTTGTTATCTCGGTTTACAATGACGAGTGTAAATCAACGATCGAAGTTAAATCTCACGATGTACATTCGGACATTTAAACTTGAAGTGCATTTGTCCTATAATTATCTGCACCTTAATCTCTTTGCAGATAATCGTATGGAAATCAGTGGAAGCACATAAAACAGACGAGTGGTGATCGTTGAAAGTTGCAAACGCGACTTACCTGACTAGGTGATCCGGGTGTAGCAAGCGAAATCTTGCCGAGGCATCCGAACTCTCCGTCGAGGACCACGGCCAGGACGCGACTTCGCTGCCCTCGCCGCTGCTGTCCTTGAATATCCTCCGTCTCGCGCGCTCGTACTCCTCCTCCCGCTCTTCGAAGCTCTTGCTGCGCCGGCAGCAGTCGCCCGACAGTCTGTCGGGTGATTTGAAGTTGAAGCTATCCTCGAACGAGCTCGAGTCCCGTTTCAGGATGCTTCTTCGCGGCTCTTCCGATAGAATCAAGTCATCTCTGATGTGCTCCTTGAAGCGAGTGTCCGGTATCCGCATGTTCTTCGTCCGCGTGACGATGACGCTCAGACCCGACTGGTCCACGTTGTGCTCCATTCCGAAGTAAGCTGCCACCCGATGCACCAGCATCCTGTTGTACGACGACATGTTCGGGAACTTGTGTGAGACCTTCTGTCGGTCCTTCGCGAACTCGATTAAATCCTTCTCGATCTTCAGTAACACTGTGCGATCCTTCTGATTGCGATTTATAGTCTCCGCAATGAACTGCTCGAGATCTATCCCGGTGCTGTCCGTGTACAGTTCAGTGCTACTGTCTGTAAATTAATATAAAGCTGGATATAAGAATTGAAAATAAAATTTCGCGCGTGATTGTTTGGGGATCAGGATTAGCTTGATAGTAAAACACTTGACGGTCAAGCAAAGAATCCGGATTCGAGGAGAAAATATTAAAATATTTAACTCAACTGGAAAAAAATCATCGTTGTAAAGTAGAAAAGGATAATTAATATCGCGAATTATGAAGGTTGTTTTACAACGAGATACCGAATCTCTCATGGATTCCGATCAAATCGTACACTGTGAGCTTACTGAAGATGGACTTGCGAAAAAGATGAAAAAAAAACCCATCATGCAAGCAACGTACCGCGCGAGAGGCATGGCGACGCGCTGTCGTAACTGCCCTGGGACGAGTTCTGGTGTCTCAGCTTGTGCCTAGATCCGGGCCTCACCGAGAGCGTGTTGCCGCATTGTGCCGAGCACTGATTGTTGCAGATGTTCAACGTGTTCGGCCTTCGTTGCTCGGATTTGTGCTGATTATTCTGGCCGCACGGAGCAAGATTGGTGCTCTTTGGCGAATGCTGCAACGCTTGACCGGATCTGGTGGGTGATATCGGAGTCTGCAGTAGACCTGGCCGTTCATTTTGATTGTTCTTCACACAGTTATTGCATTTTTGAATGATATTCGCGCTAGCGAATTTGGAGCGATGGTTCTCCAATTTATTGCTATTGGTCGGAGAAGTGATGCTCTTTGGTGAGGGTACCTGAGAGGGACTAGATTGACCTGCGCGGCAAAGTCTCGGGATTAAAATTGTGCACCCTTCGAGCGCAGCGGGAAGGGGAGAGGGAAAATGGCGCTTACCATTTCGCGACGGTGCCCGACAGGTCGGCGAGGTCGCCGTGTTGCGCATTTGCTTGGGGGATTGAGCGGAACAAAGATTGCTGTTGAACATGGACTCGTTGTTGTTGAGCTTGGTGTTGGTGGAGTTGGGCGAGAGGCTGCACACGATCTTCTTCTCGCCGTCCGCCGATTGCGGACTGTGCGGCGACGATGGACCGTTGCCGTGCGGTTCCCGCGGTGGGGACGTCGATTCTCTCATGGCATGGCTTCTGACTAACAGCTTCAGTTTCGTGTTCGTCTGCAACCATCAAGACTTCTTCATGTACGCTCGCGCGTCCCAATATTCGATTCGCCGATGTAGCCACTTTCAATTCGCGTTTGCTATTCATACCACAGACTCGAAAGACGTAAATAAACCAAAGAAAAAGTTGAACAAGTGCTTCCAATGCTCAACACCTATATGTATATCTTCTGAATTATCGCCTGACGACTCCTTCCAAATGTACTTTCAAGTTCTAATGAGAGTGGGTGAGCGAAGTGGGGGGGGGACAATGATTAATGGCACACGTACCCGATTGCGAAAGTTCTTGCTTTCAGTGTCCGATTTGTCGGACGGCGGGCAGAGTGACGTGGGACGGTGGAGCGAGTTCGGTACGGGGGTGGTGCCGACGTTGGGGTTGGCATTCCCGTCTATCATATCCGACTCCGAGGCGTCCTGGGGTGCACCACCACCGGAGCCACTTACGGCGAGGCCTTGCCTGGAGGACGGCAGTGAGGGCATTCCTCCTCGCACCACCACCGTGGGACTCTCAGGTCGGTCCTGTGACCTGCTTCCTTTATACACCACTATACTCGGTACTGGAATCATCAAGTGCGCGCGTAAACCGCGATTATTGCCCTCCCGTCCGATCAAGATTTATTGCAGGATGTCCCAGTTTTCTAGGTCGACTTGGAAATGACCTTCTCTCGACAAAAATGTTAGGTCACTGCTGAGCGTGGCCTTTCAATATTTTTTTTTAATTACATGTATATTGGCTAAATTTTAAATTAAAATATGATGAGAGAATACGCGAAGCCAATTAACAAGTACAATGTCATTCATCTCTTTTTGGTGCATATTTTTGTCGAGAAAAAGTCGGTTTCAAATCGATCGAAAAATTTGTAGCGAAACGGACATTCAATTGCTCTAACAAGCCAATGCGTTTATGCCTCTCGTTTCTGCGTGTTTCGTCATCAATTCAATAATTCTCTAATCCATTGATGCTTTATGAAAATTAATGCTAAATGGAAAAGAAAGTGCAAAATAAGCAACTTGTGACCATCGTTCGGGCGCATTTAATCGAGAGCTGGTGACGTTTCTACAGCAGAATTTATCAATCCGCGGCATTGGCGAACGACGAGATTACTCTCACTTCCGACGTGCTTACGCGACCCTACCGTTCCATCTCTACCTCTGCACAAATGTGCGGTACGCGTGTGCGTGTGTACGTGCGGTAAACCGTTTCCGCGATGAGGCGCGGACCGGCGCGGAAGTGACGCGAGACGAAAAGAGTCCGCGTGAGAATGTCGTGGACACTTTGTGAAAGAGACACTTACTCTCCAGGCGGGCCATGTGTTAAATGCGTCATGGGGTTACAGTGCAGTACACCCTGCAACTGGTGGGGGTTTCAACATACACGCGCGCGGGTGCGACTAGCAGTTAGTACGTGAATCTTTCGGGTGGCGTGCAGCACGAGGGGCTGATACTAGGTGCCAGATCACTGCACGTCCACCTTCCGACATCGTATACTCTGTAAGCAGACACAACAACGCTCGTAACGTTCTCAAGTGCGAGGGGTCGCAGGCGGCACGTTCGAATCTCAACTTTGCCTCCGTCCCTCTTTGGGGCACAGAGTGAAAAGCGCAAGGAACAATTTCGTGCTGCCTCGTGGCTGCGCGAGCTTTAACATTCCTTCGATCACTCTTAAGATCGTTCTACATTAGTCGCAAGTAACCAATCGCATGGACGCAAGCAGCGCTACTTCCGATCGTAGTGCAGTCGCGAACGCCAGTCGCAAGGTTTGACCAAATCCAAAATTTGCGTCTCTGCGATTTGCGACAGCCAATGAACATCGAGCCTCACTGTCATGGTGTCTGTTTGGCTTGGTCGATAGCTCGTTAGTTTCTCGTGTTTCTTGACTTGAGAAGATTTTATATTAATAAAATGAGTCATATAGACTGGGATGATGATGATTCTTTGGACGTAAGTGTTACATATGAAGATGTGGATGAATCGTGATCAACCTTCGTGGATGTCGCAACATTCTCTTCGTTGATTGGCTGTGACTTTACGACTGCAATGTAGAAGTTCAAATCGCAAGTTTCTTGCGACTTGCGACAATATGGACGTGCCAGCGATTGCTTACAACTTAATGTAGAACGACCTTTACTCGATGCGCGAAATTTAATTCGGGATATCTACGAGGGCGGTTTGAAAAGTCCGTGCAAAGTCAGAGAGATGTCATCACTGGTGCGTATCGATGTTATTTTTATTTAGTAGCGTCTCTCTTGGAAGAATAAGCACCAAGTTTCGGCCAGATCGGTCTATTTCTCTGTGTTTGGCGTTCGTTTGAATCGAGAAAGTCGAGTGATTGCCAAAGCATGGATGAAAGAGAATTTCGTGTGTTGATCGTGCGAGGTGTTCCCCGGGGGGTGGTTTGCAGCTGTTTCAGCGGAATCCACAGAACTTTAAGCGTCGTCACTGTGGACGAAACATGGATACACCACTACACGCCTGAGACCAAGGAGGTGGTGATTGCGGAAACGAATGCCTATTTTGCAGAGTTCGGCCAATCCTATTATTTGGAAGGGATCAACAAACTGGAGCAGCGTTGGACCAAGTGTTTAAGCCTAAAAGGAGATTACGTTGAACAATAAAAAAAACCGTTTATCCCGAAAATTTAAGTAGTTTTCATTTTTGCACGGACTTTTCAAACTGCCCTCGCGCTCGATCTTGAAGACCAATTCACTCGGTTAGAACAGAAAGGGTGCGCGTGACAAAATCATATAGAGGAAAGTCCTCTATTACGGGACTGGATTGTAATATGAGGTAGCAGATTTTCTACGTCCAAATCCATCACGAATCTCTCCTCGCAACGATTATACGATCTAACAGTCAATTTTCCTCTCAACAGATTTCACTCAATAACTTCATGACGGAACCAACAGATGACGCCTATTAATTTAGCAGAAACTCCGATATCTCATATTAGGAGCTTATCGCGTAATAGAGGACTTTCCTCTACATATTCGAGGAAAGTGAAAAAAAATCCGTTTTACAAGCTACACGAATTTTTTTAGTGTGTTTTACGCTACTTTTCCCTTAAAGTTTCAAACAGATGCGTCTAGCCGTGTAGAGCAAGGACCCATTGTTAACTCGCTTTCAGTTAAATAGTCACATATCCTCCTTTCTGTTTCTCACTCGGTTTAATTCTCTGGAATTCTCTCATTCCTCAGACATTCTCATTCGAATTTTCAGGCGAGATTGCATTTTCGCGAATTAAGTATATATACATATTTTATCCGGAGAAAGGATATAGAGACGCGCATGATTCTTCTTTTCCAATTGTAAAATCATGGGGGAAAAATTAGCCGAGGTAACAGATCTGAGAAAGTAATAAAAAAAAGGATGAAAAAACACTCGCAAAATAGACACGGCGCGTAAAATTTTCAAGAGGCGCGATAAAAAAGTAAGGCCGTAAACACAAAGGAAAAATATTAACGCTTAAATATTAAAGGGAGGTTAAAGCGAACTTATCCCAGCGCAAAACTCACGTAGCGAAACTTTCGCGGTAAAAAAATAAAATAAAATAAATGTAGCTCCGCGAAACAGAAACAAAGTTCTCGCACGGGGACCGTTTTCGACAAAAAGTTTCCCCGAGAATTTCAGATTTGTTGCCAGGCGGTAAATATCCCGTTAATATGTCGCGCGGATGCGATAGCGATGCCGTGCATTTTTACAATTTAATCGCACAATCTCCCGCAGGCGGTCACGCCACTGTTAAATAATTTCGCCGCTGGTGCAGCGAATTGCGTTACCTGTTGAAGGGCGAGAACAAAGGGACGAAATTTCGCCATTAACGCGTAAAGAGAGAACTGCTTGCCGTCAAACAGAAAAGACAGGCAACGGTGTCGTCGTATCTTTATGCAAAGAGCGCCCGATAATTATTACGTAGCGAAGGTAAACGTTGAGCTATGAATCACGAGCCTCTATAGGTCAGCGCTACACCATGAGTCATTTATTCGCGCGGCGTTATTGGATTATTAAATGATGGAGCCGCTTTTCATAATGGAGCGCGTATGACAATACACACGGCGGATTGAAAAGTATTTCACCGATGCGCTATTACGCGTGATCGTGCGTAACGAGATGTTATTAACGTGAGCGGCACTACCGTGACGCTTAATCGCGTTACGCAGCTAACCGCCCCTTGAAATAAATGAATTTCACATCGGTCATAATTAGCTCTTGTTAATGCGTGATGTCCCTCCCCCCGCCCCTGGCCTCTTCCCGCTGCGCGTTGCGAGAATTTAATAACCCGGCCGTGCGTGGACGCTCCAATATCTGGCAAATTGCCTCGGATTGCCGATGTAATAGCTGTGCGCCGTGTAAATAACGTGGCAAATATCTCGCGTGTATGAACAAAATGAGCGTGTCGCGCGAGTGACGCGCAGGCATTCGGCATGCTCGCAGCTGCTAACTGTCGCAGAGTACTATTCGAGCCTAATCTGCAATGTGCTCTTTGCGTCTAGGAACATTTGATTTTGCATCGAGACGCCTGAAGGAGCTTCGCCGGCGACGCACGATCGTACAATGTGTAACGTGCGATTTATCAACTTGCACAAATCCTTTTACACGCAAGTTCCCTGTTACGAGAGAGGCTTCCAGTGTGAGTTAGCGGGTTCTTTCAACGTCCAAACTTAATGGCAAATCCACTTCCGCGACGATTACACGATCTTAACAACGAATTCGCCGCTAAACGGATTTCACTTGAAGAGCAACAAATTCATGGTGGAACCAATAGATAATGCTTGCTGAAATTTAATAGAAATCTCTCATATCAGGAGCTCGTCTCGTAACGGGAGACTTTTCTCTACTTATTGGCTACAAAATAAAACGTTTCCAGACGCAAAGGGCACATTGCGGATCAGGCTTTATCGCTGCTTCCGTTAGGACACACGATATTCGCGAGCTAACTACCGCGTAGGGAGGGAGAGAGAGGGGGGGGGAGGGAGGATTCTTGCCGATTACGGCCGGCGGGGATCTTAATCTGCCGAAATCTCGCCCCGTCAGCTGCGATCGAAGTTTACGGCCGCGCGACCGGACGACGACGCTGATCGCAAGACGAAAAGGCGGCAAGAGCGGACGATCGTCGATCGCGCGAATTCGCGTACAAGCGGAAGCCAGGCGACTAGGACAATTCTCCTTCTCTCCCACGGTCCAACGAACCTCCAGTTAAATTCGGCGGCCTCCATGGCGGCGGCTATAATTGCGAAAGCGCGCGTATCAGCGCGCGTTAAATTTAAACCGGAAATGCGACTGCGGCGTGCCGCGGTGCTCTCGTGCCACTCTTCCTCCGCGCTTCTGCCGCATTCCACTTCGCGACGCGGATAAATTTATCCTCCATTCTCGACGACGACGCGCCGATCGCGAGCCGCCCTCGATCGCCGTCGATCAGCTGCGCCTTTCCCTTTTCCTCGGCGTTCTCTCTCTCTCTCTCTCTCTCTTTTTTTACTTTCTCTGCGTCTTTATAATCGACGAAACGACGTTGCGTGCGTGCTCAATGGCTATTGATCGTTCATCCGTTCCCGCTTCCTCCCGCTGCTTGTTTTCATTCAACCCAACTTTTACTCGTTCCCCGCCGTTCGCATCGCGCACCGAGCGACCCGATTCTCGTTTCAGGCGCCGCTCGGGTGCCCTCACGTTCGCACGAGAGCCAGGACCGGGGGGATCAGCGTGGAGTCCCTCTTCCGTACACCAGAGATCGAATCGTATTTGTCGACGCGATTGGCTCCGCTCCTCGCAATTCCCTTCTCCTCCTCCGACGCCGATCTTATCTCGCGTGCCTGATATGACGTGCGTGTGCGCTTTACCGCCGATAACGGCGTGCCGTAAAAGCGATCCGGATCGTCGATCCGCGGGCGACAGATCCCTCCGGTCGGTTGTCCGGCTATTGCCGCGTCTCGCTCGTAAAAGCGATCGCGAGATGTCGTCGGAACGCGGTTTCCGCCGCGAGCGGGGAAACTCGACGAACGCCGGGAAAAACCCACCGGAGATGCGGTACGTCGATGACGACGATGGGTCCCGTTACGGCAGGAAACGTCGACGCGTCGGGGTTCTCTCGGGATCGCGAACGAGCGTCCAATTTTTCGTTACAGTCCGGCGGTCCCCCGCGACGATTTGAAACGACGGCTCCGCTCCGGCCGCGGTGTATTAATTGACCAGAAACCAACCCCGTCGATCGGATTAAACTAGAACCACTCTCGAGGCGAGGCGTTCCTAAGAGAACTTGAGCGGATTATCACAACACTCCGAGCTTCTCTCCTTATCGTTGAGCACAGGATCTCGCGCGGGGGTGTCCGCTTCCCCCGTTGACGGAAAGGTTTACGTAGCGAGCGCCCGGATATCGTGTCGCTGGACCGTGTCGCGCGCACTCCGGGGGAACCGCGATCGCGCCGCTCGGCGATCGAGATCGATCGACGATCCCCCGGCTTTCGGGGCCGATCGGGCGGAAATGCGGGCTTACCGCCGCGACCTTCCGGCCGCGATTCTCGCCGTCCGCGGGCCGGGGAGGGCACGCCGCTTTGGCAAGACTTCGCGGCGTCTCGAAAATAGCAGAACGCTTCCTTCTCCCTCTCTCTCCCTTCTGCCCTCGCGTTCCTTGCGCGCGCGGAATCTGGTGCCGTCGCGCGTTCCTCTTCCGTGTGCTGTGCCGTGCCGTGCGCGCGCTCCGCGGTATTCGCGAGACGGAAGCGTGGGTCCCTCGCGGCAGGAGGGAAACGGGCGACGGAGGTGCGAGCGCGGGCCACCGCGATTCGGCGACGCCGATGAGAACCTGGACCAGCCGCAAGCTCTGCCGAGAACTCCGCGTAGTAACGTCGCGTCGCCGCGGCACCGCTTTGCGCGAGAGACTGAGAGAGAGGCGCGCGTGCGGCGCGCGTGCGGCGCGCGGCTCACCCGGGTCGAGGGAGGGCGGCGAGGGGGTAGCTGGCACTTCGGAGGGAACGAGAGCGTCGCGAAACCAATGAGAGAGACAGAGAAATACAGAGAGAGAGAGAGAGAGAGAGAGAGAGAGAGAGAGGAGAGAGAGAGCGCGCCTCTCTCTCTCTCTCTCTCTCTCTCTCTCTCTCTCTCTCTCTCTCTCTCTCTCTCTCTCTCTCCCTCTCTCTCGACGGAGGCAAAATCTCGACGAGAGCGATGGAGACGGAGAATCTCGATAGGCGGCGAGGGGGTGAAGACAGAGACAATCGCCGTCACCGAGAGGGAGATGCAAGGGCAACGGGGGCGGGGGAGGGGAGAGAGGGAGGAAGAGCGATCGGAATGATCGGAAGGAGATGGCGAAGCGCGGAGGACAGTGGCGGCGAACGGAGACAGGTGATAACGGCAGTGGGAGATAAGAAAGGGACGAGGGGAGCGGAGCGATGTATACATTGGCCTAGTGCACGCGTGCGCGTGTCCGTGTGTACCCGGTGTACACCGAGAAACCGCTACGGTCTACAGGGTCGGTTTCGAGCCTGGAAATTATTTCGGCGAAATGTAAATATTCTGCTTCCGCGGAAAGCATTATCGTTCATTGCACGAAAGTGCCGATTTACTGCGCGGAAAAGAGAAATTCGCCCTCCTCTCTCTCTCTCTCTCTCTCTCTCTCTCTCTCTCTCTCTCTCTTTCCCCAAGGCTACAATCTACACACGCGCGCGAAACAAAGCGGAGCTTTCTCTCCCCGACGATATTGATCGGGCGATCGTTTTGACAGTGGTTTTGGGGAAAACGAGCGGCGGAATCGAGTCGCGAAGAATCGGACTTATTGCGCGCAATAACCATTTGTTACTCCAGTGACGATCAGGCACAATTCTTCCGATAAATGTTCCAAGTAATCGCGCCCGGGAGCAATGTAGTTTTGGCACCGCGGAAGTCCATTACCTGTTCCGATTGTAAGCTCCAGACTATCGGCGAGCATTCGAGCTGAAGCTCTGTCGCAATCGTGTCCAACGTTATTCGCCGGCTGTCGACGGACTTCTCCGCTTCGTTGGGAGACGTGACATTTTTTTTCCTAGCTCTCTCTCTCTCTTTCTTTTCGTTGCAATATAGGCGAGACTGAAGTAGTTTCTGCACAGAGAGAAAAAAATAGTCATTTTTGGACCCAACCATATTTTTATAATTCCTCCAACGTAATTTATGGTTGACCTAACAATATTATAGTTCTCATAAACACAATATTGGTCCATGCAATTATAAAAATATGGTTGGGTCCAAAAATGACTATTTTTTTCTCTCAGTGTGTACTTCGCACGCAAACGACAACGCACGTCATTCGTATAACTGCGAAGGAAAAAAAAACAGAAATAAATAAACTGGGACGCGGAC